TCCATGTTTTCTATTTAAAACATCAGTATATGTATTTTTAAAATGTATACATGAAAGAAAAAAAAATGTCTGCAAATAATTTATAACCAAATGCTGGACTTAGCATTACTGCAAAAAAACCCCACAAGTTCTGACTTTGAATTTTGCAGATAGTCTTTACTATAAACATGTTTTAGTATAAACAATTTTTAAAATTATGACTGAAATATTTCAGAATATTGTTATTTATTTATTTAAGCTTATATATCAAACATTGCTGCTTAACACCAGATGCTACAGTTTTAATGTGCATTAATATTATTAATTTAATATATTAATAATATGCATTAAATATGAAGAATACACCAATAAATGTAGGAGTTACTTCCTAAGTTGACTGATGAGCTAATTAAACTAATAGCCATGGAATTTTTAAAAAGTCTCAAGTTTTTTCCATACCAGCATGAGCCATATAAAACGTTTGGCCTTTGTTAGTGGATGGGTCACAGAATGGGTTTGAGAAATATAGAGAAGATGGTAGATATGGTGAAAAACAGCACAGATTTTGAGGCCAGAGACTGGGCTCTAAATCTTATCTCTGCTATATTGGCTATCGGTCTTGTGGGCCTCAGTTTACTCACCTGGAAAACAAGCATAATAACACCCATCTTACAGCAGCATTGGGAAGATTAGTGCTAATAATGCATGTAAAGTGCCTAGATCACAGCAGATGCTTACTAACTAGCATCGGGGGATCATTTTGATTTATTTGCATGCAGATACAATCAGACAGGTTTGCCAGTGTTTATTTGTTGTGTTTTGATCATTTAAAAGGTCTGTTAGCAATCCTCACTCAACAAGGTTGATACCTGCAGAGACCACAGGGTTGGCTCACTTTTCAATTCCACAAAATTTTCTATAGTTCTTGCTACAAGGGACGGCAGAGAAACCATCACACCCTGTACATACATAACATATTATTGATAATAAAAAGTAGAGCACTCCACTAGGAGTTGGGGGATTTATTTTAGTTCTGGCGTCATCTCAAAAGAGCTCCGTGAACTTGGGTTAGCTCCTTACATCTTCCAGGCCTCAGTTTTAAGATGAGAAAATCAGATTTCTTCTCATAAATTTCAGTTCTAAGACTGTATTAGGAATTTAATTCTATGATTTGCTGACTTAGGGCATAGGTTCAAGACAAAAGAGAGGAGGAAAACCGGTATAAATGACCAAGGACCTTGGACACAGTAACTGTCCATCTCATTTCCAAGTGTGGGGTATCAGCCTGGTTTTCACATGATCACCTAAAAGACAAAATCAAAGTAGACCAGATCTAGCTTCTTTCTCTGTGACGGAGGAATGATTTCCATAGAACACTTTATCACCAATACTTAGATCTGTAATTCGTAAATATTTCTCCAGTCCTGTCCATAGATGTGCACTACATACAGCACATGATTTTGTCTGTTCATTCTGCTGACCAAGGACTTAAATATGAGTTGAGAGTAGGGGCGTATTCTGTGGTCATAGATCCTATTTGCATCCACTGAGGTCAGCAGCCACACATAGCCCCCAGATATCATTGGTAAGTGGTAGCTTGCTGTGGTAAATGTCGTCCTATAATTGAACCAATACATAAGCCCAAATTTAAACTGTTTGACTTCTAAATATAACCAGCCATGAAATGAGCCACTTTGGAAGGAGAGTTCCTTGCCCTGGAGATATCTAAGAAAAATCTGGATAGACACTTTGGTAGGGGTGTTACATGTTGGAGATTCAGATATGGAGTAATCTAACAGTTTTATGATCCTTTGGTTCTATTTGCTCTTACGGGACCAACTCTAGGAACGTGTGTAATGAGTTTTATTTTTGGACATATTAAAAACAACAAGTTGTCCTGCCCTGTGGGCGAAGAGAGAGAAGCCAGGTCTGTACATGGACTGACTGAGTCTTTTAACACTAAAGACACCAATAGTCCAGGATTCTGAGCCATGGTGTTCTGCATAATGCAATTCAATTAAATATAGATGGCAGCATTGCGAAAAGAAAAAAGAAAGCTTAGTATAGGTAACTGACATGCCCAAACCTGGACCTGGCAAACAGGAGGGGCCAAGATCCCCTTACTAGTATTTGCTGTGGTACCAGACAACTACCCGTCAGTTCTCTTCTCCTTGGATCCTCTCAGAATCTATGAACCCTGCTTATTTTGTGCCCAGTTCAGTGCTCACAGCTTAACGGAGTGTTCTATAACTAGTTCAGACCTTCTCTTGGCATACCGCCTACTCCACGTCAGAAGTTAAACGATTGCACTTCCTTAAAATGCAGTATTTTCTAACAGAACCTGCATCAGTCAACCGATTAGTGTAATTACGCATGCGCTGCTCAAGGCTCCACACTGGCTAATGATCGCTGGCTTTGTCTTATGCAAGGCTGGTCTTTCCTCGAGATCCACCTAAGAAGAAACCACTTGAAAGGAGGTACAAGGGTAGATTTCAAATACCACAAGAAGAACATCACGTCCATTTGTCAGAGTCTTACAAAAGGCAGCATTTGCATCATCTGTCCATACCTGGTAAGACCCATGAGTCTCAGTTTGAATGGTGGGGTATGGAGGGGGACGCGGGAGTTAAAGAATGGCCCGGTGAAGGAGTGACCGAAGAGGTTTTCTGCCCTAACTCTCACTTCTTGGGCTCCTTAAAAGGCTCTGTACCTTCCTTGTTTTCCTGATTTCTATGACTTACCCAGGGTCTGTGCTGTTTTGCTGCTTGGATGAAGGAGTAGCACAGTCCAACACTGGTAGGCGTGATCGTTGGATCTGTGTATGTAAAGAAGGGTTCAGAATTGGTACAGGACTCACCCTGGCTTCAGGCAGAACCTAAGACGGGGGTGGTGGGAAGAGGCCCATCCCTCGTGTACCTGAAAGGCCAGGTCCATGCTTGTAAATGCAAGGCAGAGAGCTAAGCCTGGCTTGCTCCACTACACTCTCTCAGGAGCCACAAATGAGTGATGACACCACTAGCTGGAAAGCAGGGCTCACGTTTCTGCTCCTGCCTGCTCCTGTCTGGGGTTGCTATGACCTTCTCTGTTGAAAGAAAACTATTTGGCTCTGAAGTAAAGTAAGTCTCATTAACCATCATCCTTTCAAAGAACATGATTGTATCGCTCTCTTTCTACCTTCTGTTCACTTGCTTCATCTTTCTTTTGGTTGTTTCTGCTCTGGTGTATGTTTAAGTGGGGGATTTAAATGTTTGGCGTGTTCATCAGAGAAGCCCAGACAGATCTTTGAAGCGGTTGGTGAAAAAAGGGAAGTGATACTTCTGGGTGAGGGATGACATCAAAGAGAAGCCCATGTTCTGTTCCCTACAGCGTGGCTGGGAGTTTTTCCTCCAAGAAAAGAATTAAACAACAACGCTTCCCAGGAAAAGAGTGACTTTCATTTTTTCGCTCCTCCCATCTTCTTTCCCCAATCCATTCAGATATATAAGCATCTGAAGACCTATTTTGTTTTAAGGCAAAGCCTGATGCAATTGAGCACTAATACTATAATTATAATTATTGAAAATGATAATATTTAAATGTTTTATACCCATTCTGTTGACCTTTGAACAACATAGCAGTGATTACAAATGACAAATATGAATATTATCCCAGTGTTTCATGGAGGAAACCAGGACCAGAAAGTCAAATGCCTTGCTCAGGGTCATACATCAGGGCATCATTATATCTATATTTATACACTGACCTGATATTTAGCATCAAAATATAGTCTCTACTCTTTTGACTTTAGGCTCAGCATGTTTTTATCTATACCTTGCTGCCTCTTCCCACACATAATCTTTTAAGATTAAATTTTCAGATTCTAGAGTCAGGGCCATGGAGTTACTAAAAGGTCATGTTCTCATCCTTACTCTGCACTGTGTCTGAATATCAAGGAAAGGATTTTTTTTAAAGGCTGCTTTGAAAATTCATTGTCCCACAATTACTTGACTAATGCCAGTACTGAAATGTGCATATCAAAACTACACACTTTTATTTGATTTTTCTCGGCCCATTACTTGTCTTAGCTGAGTGGCCAGCTATGTGTAAGCCTGAATGGCAGGGAGGTGTTCTGGGAGCAATGACCGGTTACAAAGTTTCTGTTGAGATCCAGGGAGCAACTGTAGGTAAGCACATTTTTGTTAACATGCAGAGGGGCAAGAGGTAGAGCTTAGATCCAGCTCATCAACGCCAGCAGGGAGCTTTGCCGAGCAGCGTCTCCTCTTTGAACACCACCTGGATCACCTCTGGAATCCTGGGAAGGAAAGTGATGGGTGTTGATCAGAATGCTGCTGTGGGCAGGGTTTGGAAGAAAACTAACCAACCGAGTGTGCCTGCTGGTGGGAGAAATTTTCCAGTTCCTACAAATAAGGCCCAAATTACAGGACCTTTTCTCTCCTCTTTCCTCCTATTGATCATTATCAGCCTCATAAAGTCAACCATGGGCATGACTTTGGAGAGATGGAAGTATGGTGAAGAGGGAACACTCAGCCAGGGGTGTGCAGTCCCAGGTTCTCTCTGTGCTTTGTAGTCTGGGACAATAGTTTGACGTTGTGCTCTTTAGTATTCCCGTTTATTAAATGATGAGTTGGATGACGTTGCCTTTGACACTTCCAGGCCTATATTCTCTGATTCCCATCTACGTTGTCTCTCTCCCACAATTAACTTTATAATTAAAAGTGCCTCTGATACGTTATTTTGAGTTTTCTAGAGAGAGAAAAAAAAAGTGCAAGGCAGAGTAAGAAATAAATTGGCAATAAATATTAACAAATTATTTCTAGTTTGAATAAGTGTGTATTTATTTTTATTTTTATTTTTTATTTATTTACTTTTGAGATGGAGTTTTACTCTTGTCACCCAGGTTGGAGTGTGGTGGTGCTATCTCAGCTCACTGCAACCTTCACCTCCCGGGTTCAAGCAGTTCTCCTGCCTCAGCCTTCTGAGTAGCCGGGATTACAGGTGTGCGACACCACATCCAGCTAATATTTGTAATTTTAGTAAAGACAGGGTTTCACCATGTTGGCCAGGCTGGTCTCGAACTCCTGAAATCAGCTGATTCACCCACCATGGCCTCCCAAAGTGCTGGGGTTACAGGCATGAGCCACTGCACCCAGCCTGAATACTTGTTTAGTGTACAAAATTAGAAAGCAAGTAAATGAATGTGAAAATAAAACCTCTCATTATCCCATCAATCAGAGATGTCCACTATAAAGATTTTGATTAAGTTTTCTTCCAGTGACGTGTGTGTGTGTGTGTGTGTATTTTATTTATAAAAATATTTTTCATTGAGGTTTCAAAAGATTTTTTAGGACTTACTGTCACTATATACCTTTGGCTTTATGTCAATTGCAGAAGATCTAATTCCTATAATAAATCCATTATTCCATGTTACTTGTGGTGGTTCTGCCTTCCTGATTCAACACTGATTGGTACGAAGAGTTGTTGAAACTGCTAAGACTTGTCACATGTGGATTTTGGTATTGACTTCTCCACTTGGCAGTTTTCAAGAAAGGATTTTGAAGCACTGAATGGTGTGTTCCAAAACAGCTGCAGGGTTTAAAAGAATCAGCCATTTCCGATTACATTTAACATTATTGAACATATACTATACACGTCAGACCTGTGCTAAGTGATTTATTAGTACATGTATTATATTACTTAATCCTAACTCCCTGGGGGCAAGTATATCATTCCCAGTTACCGATAAAGAAACTGGGATTCATGGATGGGCCAAAGTTGCACAGCTAATATTAGTGGCAAAGTCATGATTCAAACCTGGACATTTTGCTTGTGAAGTCCACACTCTGGATTCAAAATTAAGTCATTGACTAACGTACCAGGCTGGAGAGGCCCAATCTATGAGGGGATGGCAGGGTATTGGTTAGTTGCGCGCACTGTGGGAGTGCATGAGCTTGTGAAATGAGTCCTGGTGAGGAAGGTAGCAGGTGTGCTGGAATAAGCACTAGACGTGGAGTCAAACAGACATGGGGCTTTCCCATCACTTTCTTGTCTCAGCATCAATGCTTTCATCTGTAATAGAGAGATAATAGTATCAGTCTTACAGATGCAGATTGTGATGAAGATAGAGAATAACACGTAAAAGCCCCTGGCATGTTTCCAGGCATATAGTAAATGCTAATAGGGTTTAATTGATTCTGAATCTGAGCAGAAAATTTTAAGTTGAGACCTGGTTCTTAATCTTGAATGGAGCACTCTTGATATGCAACTTTGAATAAGATCTAGGGCCTTTCTAGGCCCAAGTTCCTCATCTTCCTAGGAGGTGGTTAAACTAGATGATGACTACAAGCCTGTCTAGGATTCTAGCCCTTTAGCTGGTATTAAGAGGAAGGAATGTGGCAGATGGTGTCCTCCCCTCTCACCTCAGTCTGAAACAAGGCCAGATTCTCAGAGTACAGTGTGTTTCTCCCTTGGCCCCTCTGCCCTGTGGATATTCTTGACTAGATCCAAGCCCTTGGAATTTTCTGAAAGGTTTGAGGTCTGATGAAAATCACAACCATTTCTTAGAAGGAAGGGGTGAGGCCTGTGTCTTTGACTGCCAGGATGCGGTTGCTTTTATTAGCTCTTCTAGGAAAGGAAGGTCACAGCTTTATGGAATTCCCTATGAAGAAAGAAAATAACTCCTTTGACTTGCTCCAAAGAATACAGTTGGGAAATCACAAATACAGATGATTTCTTGGGTCCCTTATACTCTATTATTTTGTGAGTCAGCTATAAGTGAACACATGAACTGAATGTAACTGAAGAGCTAATAGACACTAAGTACTGTGCAGCACGGAGACGGGGCACGATTCTCCCTCTGAAGATACCTCTCTTGAATCTGCCTCCTTAAAGGAAATACAAACCAATCGTTGAAGAGGAGGTGCAAATTTCGGTTAGATTCTCCAGAAAGAATGGTCAAGATTTTCTCCTATCTCCCTGGACACTTCTCATTCTCCTGGGCTAGTGCCTTCTCCTCTCCCAAACCTCTGAACCAAGAGTGCCCCATTGAACTTCTTCTTGTTCTGTGCTCACTTCCTTGGAGATTTTATTCCTTGTCACAGGTTTAATAAAATCTTAGACCCTGACAACTCCTAAATTTCTACCTCCAGCTTAGATTTCTCTTCAAAACTAATTTCAGAAATCCAGCTGCCGGCCAAGTTCTCTCCCTTTGAATGTCTATTATCCTTCTCTAACTGAACATAACCCAAATGGGAGTCCCTGATATGCCCCCAACTCCTTCAAACTGGCTGTACCTAAAGCCTTTCCTATGTTAGTAAATAACAAGCCCATTTGTCACACTTGCTCAGGCCCAAGTACTTGGAGTCTGTTTGAGTCCTGTTTCTCCTTAACCACTTCAAATCTGTCAGAACTTCTATTGTCTCTGGCTTGAAAATACGTACAGGAATCCAAACATTTCTCACTACCTCCCAGTCCAAGCCACCATCATCTCCCTCCAGGATATGGCATTTCCTCCTAAATGTCCTCTATACTTCCACCTTGCCCTTCTCAAAGAGCACTCAGAGGGATTCTGTGGAAGCAAAATTTAAATGCTGTCTAAACCGTCAGTGGCTTTTCATCTCACCCAAATTGATGTGGCTTCCAAAGCCATACGAGGTGTCTTCCTTTTCTCTCCATCTTCATCCCCCACTGCTCTTCCCTCCCTCACTGCCTCCACCACGTCAGCCTTTCCAAACACTCCAGGCATCGTCTGGCCCAGGCCTAGGCAATTACACTTCCCTCTGCCTGATGTTCTTACCTCGATATCTAAATGGTTCTCACCTTCACCTCTTCTCAGCCTTCAGTCAAATGTCTGATGCTCAGTGAAGCCTTTCCCAGCCATCTTATTTCTGATTGCATTTGTCCCTTCATATACATCCTATCCCACTTCCTTGCTTTTTTTTTCTTACTTTCAGCATTTATTACTGTCAAAAAATATCACACAGGCCAGGCATGGTAGCTCATCCTATAGTCCCAACACTTTGATCTCCTATGTTGCCCAGGCTGGTCTCACGCTTGAGCTCAGGAGTTCCAGACCAACCAACGTAAGAGACTCAATCTTTACAAAAAAAAATAAAACAAAAGATTGGCTGGGCTTGGTGGCTCATGCCTATAATCCCAGCACTTTGGGAGGCCAAGGAGGGCAGATTATGAGGTCAAGAGATCAAGACCATCCTGGGCAACATGGTGAAACCTCGTCTCTACTAAAAATAGAAAAATTAGCTGAGCGTGGTGGTTGGCACCTGTAGTCCTGCTACTCGGGAGGCTAAGGCAGGAGAATTGCTTGAGCCCGGGTGGTGGAGGTTGCCGTTAGCCAAGATCGCACCATTGTACTCCAGCCTGGCAACAGAGCAAGACTCCATCTCAAATAATAATAATTTTTTTAAGTCAAGAAAATTATCAGGGCATGGTGGAACACACCTGTAGTCCTGGCTACTTGGGAGGCTGAGGTGGGAGGATCACTTGAGCCTGGGAGGGCGAGACTGCAGTGAGCAGTGATTGTGCTACTGTACTCCATTCTGGGTGACAGAGTGAGACCCTATTCTCAGAAACAAAACAACAGAAAACCATACATATTTACTGTTGAGTTTATTGATTATTTCCTTCTGCTAGAACAAAACTTCACAAGGGCAGTGGAGCACAGTGGAGGGCATTCAGTAAATGTTAACTGAAGAATTGGGTGGGATGGTTGGCCAACAGCTTCATGGAGCAGGCTGGGTTTGAGCTATGTTACTGGCCACAGAGAGGGTCTGAGCAAACAAATAGGATGAGAAAGTGCTTGGGAGAGAGGGACACTGAGGAAAGTCTTGGGTGGGAGCCCAGGGGGGCTGGATAGGTCTGGACTAACTGGCCTGTTCTCCATCAGCCTTCACCCTTCTGGTTTTATTTCTTCCAGAATACCTAGTGTCTCTTAGCATGTGGTAACAATTCTGTGGCGGCTTGGTACAATAGAAAGCTCGTGGATGAAATTCAGAGTCATAGACCTGAATCTAGAAGCATAACCCAGACAAGCCACTTAATCTCTCTAACCCTATCCTCGTCCACCTGTCAAAGAAGGATGACAATGCTGGCTCTTGTTTCTCTTGGGGCTGTAGTGAAGACCAAATGAGGTAACAAATGGAAAAACGCTTCACACCATGAAAGATGGATGATTGGGCCGGGCACGGTGGCTCACGCCTGTAATCCCAGCACTTTGGGAGGCCAAGGCGGGTGGATCACAAGGTCAAGAGATTGAGACCATCCAGGTCAACATGGTGAAACCCCGTCTCTACTAAAAATACAAAAAATTAGCTGGGCATGGTGGCATGTGCCTGTAATCCCAGCTACTCAGGAGGCTGAGGCAGGAGAATTGCCTGAGCCCAGGAGGCGGAGGTTGCGGTGAGCCGAGATGGCGCCATTGTACTCCAGCCTGGGTAACAGGAGCGAAACTCCGTCTCAAAAAAAAAAAAAAAAAAAAAAGAAAGATGGATGATTATAGTGGGGATTAGTAAAATGCATCTGTGTATGGCTGAAATAATTACTCAGAGTCATGTACAGATTTTTCACCACAGTGGTAAGGGAAGGGCAAGAGGATTCCAATTGGTGACTAGCTCAGAAATCCTCCATCATTCAGCTTTCAGATATGGGAGCTACATGGGAGGAGAAATTGGAAGATGTACCCACCTGAGGACGTGCCAGTGTGCAAATGAGGAGCTATTAATTCCTTTGCATCAGGTTCTGGTGATTAATTCTTCTCCTTTCACCCTTATAAAAAATTTATGAATTAAATATTACTATCCGATTCTTTAGAGGTGGGAAAACCAATGGTCAGACTGGTTAAGTAACTTGCCTATGGTCACACAACTATTTGGTGTCAGAGTCAGAAGAAACCATCTTGTCTCAAGAGCCTGTGTTCTTCCAGTAGGCCACCTTTTCAGACACCTTGGCGCAAATAATTAAGCAGCAGCAGGACTACCCCAGTTGCTGAATTTGGGCAAGTGAATAATACGTTAAGTCTAACATTGGGGGACCCAGGCAGATAACAGACTGAGCTATTAAACACAATTCCCAGAGTGAAAAGAAAGGCCAGTGTGCATCTAGACTCGTGAACCCTAACCCTTGTCTACCACTGCAATTCCCAGAGTGAAAAGAAAGGCCAGTGTGCATCTAGACTCGTGAACCCTAACCCTTGTCTACCACTGCAATTCCCAGAGTGAAAAGAAAGGCCAGTGTGCATCTAGACTCGTGAACCCTAACCCTTGTCTACCACTGCAATTCCCAGAGTGAAAAGAAAGGCCAGTGTGCATCTAGACTCGTGAACCCTAACCCTTGTCTACCACTGCAATTCCCAGAGTGAAAAGAAAGGCCAGTGTGCATCTAGACTCGTGAACCCTAACCCTTGTCTACCACTGCAATTCCCAGAGTGAAAAGAAAGGCCAGTGTCCATCTAGACTCGTGAACCCTAACCCTTGTCTACCACTGTTCTATGAATGCAGCAGTACCTGGTAACGATTTAGAAGAAACCAAGATTTTGAGTGAAAGTTTTAGTAAGAGTGTAAGAATAATATAGATGGAACAGTGACCACTGGCCTTTCTAAGCATCAGAATTTAAAAAAAAAAAAAAGCAGTGGTATAAAGGTCAGGTGTGGTGGCTCATGCCTATAATCCCAGAACTTCAGGAGGCCAAGGTGGGTGAATCATCTGAGATCAGCAGTTTGAGACCAGCCTAACTAATATGGTGAAACCCCATCTCTATTAAAAATACAAAAATTAGCCAGACATGGTGGCAGGCACCTGTAATCTCAGCTACTTGGGAGGCTGAGGTAGGAGAATCACTTGAACTCAGGAAGCAGAGCTTGTAGTGAGCTGAGATCACACCATTGCACTCCAGCAGCCTGCGTGACAGACTCTGTCTCAGAAAAAAAAAAAAAAGGCAGTGGTATAAGAAATGATATGATTATTTTGAATGATTAGCAAACTCAGCCTAGATTTTAACTCATAACACTTTTGCAGCAAGTTACCTGCTGCCTGTCACATAATGACTTAATAAATATTCACTGAATATATGAATATATGCATCTCTCTCTCTATATATATATAGATAGATAGATATATGTGTGTGTGTGTGTCTGTGTGTGTGTGTGCGTGTGTGTGTGTGTAGCATGTATGGTGATGGCATTGTTTTAATAATTATGTCTGTAAGTTCATTTGTATAGAAGATGAATGTACAAATGGATGGATACTGGGACCAGATGTCAGAGAAATGTCTCCCAAAATAACCTGTAATCATGTATAGGATGCTGACAGAATGCTTACTTTGAAAATGTATGTACCAGAAAATTTTTACAGAGTACCTACTGGGTGCTGATGAAAGGAAATACAAGGCATATCTCTTTGTATTTGCCTCAGATAGCCACAAAAGGCATATATACAATTTTAATAAATCATTTGTATAGTTTAGAGCTGCTTGGATTTGGAAGCAAAGGAGGACCATTTTCCGTTTGGTGTGACTCACCAATCACAGAGTGTGAGGGGTGAAGGAGGCCAGGGTCATTTGGTGCATTTACCATTTTAGATTTCAAATTGAACTGCATAAAGGAAAGTTACACAGTGATTCATAAGCAGATGTTAAAAAAATAGAAATAAAAAACTCCCTCTCTAGCTGCCACTGTTTTCTGTAAGTGCTACGGAAACCCTAAGAAATAGGTGTTTGCAAAGATGTGGAAAATTTGGTAGGATGGTATAAAGTCAGGAGCATGGGCTTTGGATTTAGTTCAACCTGGGTATGAACCTCCTTCATCTGCATATCGGCTCTTCATCTCAGGGAGTCTATTTGCATTTTGAACCTCTGGCCCCTGACTTATGAAATGAAGATACCTACCCCTCGTGTCTCCTGTCAGGATGAAATGAGATTACATTGGAAGGGGCTCAGCAGAGTGAGTACCTGCTCACATGGTTTCTCAGTATTTCATTCCTCCTCACACCCACACATACTCCCTTTATCTCTAATGCCCTGGGTACCCTTGGGCCAGGGTATCCAGACTGCTTCCTCCCTTCCTCATCTGCCACATTTAGGTTGGACCAGATGGTATCTAAGATAGCATTAAATGAGTCTAACTGTCTAGTCCTATTTTTTACCAGAAAGCTGGGATAGCTGGACAGTATATAAAACAGCCTACTTTGTACACATTTATATTTACAAGCCATTTACTACGTTTTACCGCATTTAATCCTTAAAAATACCTGCCAGGCAGTGGTGCTTTCACCTTTTACAAATGAGCAAACCAAGGCAAGCGTCATAGAGAAGATAATCTCACACCTCCTCCGGCTGGCAACTGGCATGCAGGGAAGACTTTTAAAGACTCAACAGCCGCGTTCAAAAGTGAGGCCCTTAATGATACTCTTGGCTTTGAAAATCAAATGTAAACTTCCCAGTTTCACTCTGTCCCTTCTCCTTCCTTTTACACTAAGAGCTTTAGTCATCTTATCTTTCTTTTCTGTTGTCTCTTTTAAATGTTGCCATTCTGGGCTGAGGTCACGACTCTCTCTCCTAAGAGCCCTAATCAAATTCGGAAGACAACAGGATTGAACACAGAGTCTTCCATACCCGGTTCCCAGACCGAACATGCACAAACAAAGCTAATGGTTGGGAATTCAACCCTCGCCGCCTGAGGCTGTGGGGCTGGCTGTGAAGTTTCACCCAGCTCCTACCCGATTGTCTTTCTTTAGCACTTGATTTGCCTGCTGCTGGATCCATGATAGAGCTACTCTTTCAAGACACTGATTCATGTTCTCCCTTGGGGGGCCTAGACTTGTGCCCTACACAATGAGTGCCCACTGAGCTGGAGATGGTATTGCTGGCAGTGCAGTCCAGAGTTGCATCAAGTGTTTTAGAAATTGCACAAAACTATCGGCCAGTCTGATTTGTAGCCTTTCCCACAGAGATTCACGAAGCCTACTTTCAGAATCTAATTCCTAATAATGCAATCAGTTTTTGGAAACTGAAGCCGAGTCTCATATTTGAATGTTGACTTTCACCATGCAGGAAAGGTTGGCCACATGCAGGAGTGACTGGAAGATTTTTGGCAAGTATATTAATTGGGATTTTCCATTCGTAGAGAAGCCGCATGTGCTAAGGCACGGGCAATACTCCATTCTCAGGGTTCCCAGGGACAAAGAGTGGGCCAAACCTGAAACTAAAAACTAATATGCCTCAGAAGGAATCACTAGCATTCTTAAAATAAATTTAAAAATGTCAAGTAGAGGCAAATTGAACTGTTTCCCCCTTTGAAATGCAATAACACCTTACTCATCAGGGCTATCGTGGGGATGGAATTAGAAGAAACAGGAAAAGTCTAGCACTGAGCTTTGCTCAGAGCATTGAGCAAATGTATTAGCTGTTGGGACTCTTGTTTGAAGTAAAAGGACCAGGTTTTGAACCTCATTCTGCTGTTCACTAGCCCCAGTGCCTTCCCCATTCTGGGTCCTAGTTCTCTTATCTTCTAATTAGAGTAATAATTGCCACATATTTCACAGAGTCATGATGAGAAACAAATTGAAGAATGGCTAGAAAGTTCTTTGCAAACTACATAGCTCAAACAAACAAACAAAAAGCATTATTAGGTGTATGTCTAATCTCTGTGCCATGGCTTCAGCCCTTCTTTTTGTATGAAAAGCCCTCTCTCGCCATACTTCCTCTCTTTAACCTACCTGTTAAGTTCTATCCTTTATTCACAGGGAAGTAAAACATTAATAGCTAAGATCAAAGGCTTCAGATTGCTAGGGTTCAAATCCCAGCACTGCTTTTTATTAACTGCTTGACTTTGGGCAAGCTACCTCACCCTTCTGTGCTTCAGTTTCCAGTCTGTAAAATGCAAATAAAACAATACCCATTTTATAAGCTTGTTGTAAGGATTAAATAAATTAATAAGTGTAAAGTACTTAGAACAGTATATTCTACATACTATATAAAATGCTAGCCATAATTATTTCAGGGCTATGCTTACTGTTTTGATGTCTATTATTTCAAGAATATGTTTATCAGTTTGCTTTATTTTATTATTATGTTCAAACCCCACCCCTCCAAGAAACTTTCTTCTATCTCTGAAGCAAACATGTTCTCACATTCAAGCAAAGTTTATTGACTGTAGCTTAGTGATAGCTCTGGTCATTCTTGTGTGTTTGTTTGTATCTCTCTCCTCCACCAGCTTTGGGGCCCTAAGTGACAGAGCCTTACTCTTTTACCTCTGTACACTGGCCAGTGTACATTAAATATTTGTTGAATTGGATGGAAGCTATGCAAATGTATACACATGAATAAACCTAAATATATTCTATAATAGCTAATAATACCCTCTACATAATAACTATGCATTCAGGACTGAACAAAATTACAGCCCTTTGCACTCTCCCTAACACACAGTATGTGCTAACTAAATGTATTTACTTGAAAATATGGGAGGACAGATAAAGGTGCATAAAGTCCAATAAAAGTTGCAATCTATTGGGTCCTTTTCTTACAAACATGTATGAGATGGGTAAGTTGCTTATCTCAGGCACCAGGCGAGGATTAAGATACCAACGAGAAGAAAAAAATAGCTACTGGTCTCCAGGCACTCACATTCAAAGGAGAGACAGTGCAATTACTAAACAGTCAAAAGAGGACATAGGTGCTAAGCTGAGTGCGATAAAACGGCACAGGGATGTATATTCATCGGCTCAGTCATTTCTCTAAGATCTGGACCTCCTCAACATCAAATTGCCCAGGCATGTTCATTGCCCAGGGATGATTGTACCTTCTTTTTCAGTAATCAAGGAATCAAGGGAAAAGATTCCAAGTTGACTAAAGGCAGAGAGGAACGAGTCAGTGATAAGAATGTGGTAGCTCACAATATAGCAGGTGAGAATATAAAATGAGGCGGTGAGGCCATAAGCCACGTCTCTAGAACCGTATCTCATAGAAAGTGTTTATCAGTCTCAACCATTTTGATGTCAAGTGTGGAGAAAATATTGTGAAACAACAAAAACTATCTTTTCCCAGGAGAAGGGAGACCTAGTTTACTATCAACCCCATTTCCATCAGTGACTTTTCTCCTTAAATTCCCAATTTCACTATCAGTCGAGGAATGAGTCTGAACTTGAGTATTTCTAAGGAGCATCCCACTTTCACTGCTTTTTGGTTCTATTTGACACCTGGTCTGCTGTGAAAGCCAACTCTTTCTTCTAGCTTCAAATACTACCTCTAGCTTGATGAATTGCAAATGCATCTCTCAAAGCCAGACATCTCTTTTGAATCTAGATCTTGAATATCCACTTGCCTACTTTGACGTCTACCTCAGAGATACCTCAGACATATCTTGTTCAAAATAGAGTTTTCAACAATTTCTCCACCTCCAGAAGATTTTCATTTTGCAGTGTTTTCTTTTTTAACTCAGTAAGTGGAAACCCATTCACCCAGCTGCTCAATCCAGAAACCTGGGTTTCGTTCTTGACACCTCTCTTTCTTTTACCACACACTCTGGCTCAATCTGATTCACTGTTAAATTTTGCCAATTCTAATTTCAAAGCATCTCTCAAATATTTCTACACCTCACCACCTATACTTCCAAGGTGTGTAGGCCAGGGTACCTTCCTCTTTCATTAAGACTCCTACAATAGTCATTTAGAAAATCGCCTCTTGTCTATTTCTAATTCATCTTCTACACAATAGCTGGGATCGTTTTCTAAAATGTAAAACAGAACACGTCAATCAAGTCACCATCCTGCATAAAAACCTTAAATGACTTCTTGATGCACTTAAACTATAAATTCCTGACCATGGTCTATGAAGACCTAAATGATCTGATTCTCCCTGCAACTTCATCTTCCACCATACTGCCTCTTTCAGGTCTCTGAACATATCAGTTTTAC